CCTCCTCTCTCTCTCTCTTGGAAACCCTCCGAGCTTTGCAACACTGTGTGGAAAATAGTTTGGTCGAGCTCCTGCATTGCGCCCGCTTTCTGCAGGATGTGGTGGTGGAGCTGGTCCTTCGGGACGTCGAGTCGCTGCTGGACTCTTACCTCCGGAGGGCGCGCAAGGTTTTCTCGAGAATGGTTTGGGAGCTGGAGGACTCGGAGGCACCCTAGCCGTGAGCGAGGAAGTCAGAAGTAAAAATCAAGGAAGGGGGCTCCGTCAGCCAAGGAGGTTTTTAACTGGGGCTCTGGTCGTGGCTGCGGTCAGCATAAATATGTTGATAGTTACTTTCTTTCTTTGATGTTATCTGCTAGCGGGATGCTTTGATTTTAGGCTTCTGCCATATTTCGTGATTTCCCCCTGTCCGAGACGGTGTGTGCTTTCCTTCTTTTGTCTTTCTTACTGAAATGCGCGGGTATACGAAGGGCTCCCCCGGCGTCAAAGCGGAATGCTTTGTTAAAGGAACTCGTCTTCCATCAACCAGGAACGCCTCCTCGCTGTTCCCTGGGCGTTCATACCGCAAGGTATCACCATCGAGACCAAAAATGCCACGACTGCCCGCAGCACGCGAGGGCATCCTCGGGCATGCGTCTATTGGTTCAAACCTCACATCCAGCCCCGATCACCATACTCGCACTCCCATGGTGGCGTCATAGGCCCTCGCGGAGGTCCCCAGACTCCACCGCGACCCCTTGCCCGACCAACATCGTCTTTACACCAGGAAGTCATCCCCGATATGGAAGGACTCGTTCGGGTCGAGGACGAAGGAGGGGGGCTGCATCTGACTCTCCTGGCACCCCGGCTCCGGAACTCCCTTCTTCTCGTCCCTCCGTCCCCCTTGCGCCTTCCCCCCAAATCCATCCTCGAGCAAATTGCCCTCCTGCAAGGACTGCTGACTCTCATTATTGGGCGAAGAGATATGTGGGAACCCCGTGCCTGGCGCGTCCTCCTGCATGGAGACTGCAGGGCCGGGGAAGGCTGGTATATAGCTGGATTTGGAGGGGTGGGAAGGAGGTAGAAGTAGGGGTATCCCATCTTTGATCCGCTGGTCGACTCCAGTGGTGGCGTGGAAGCACGACAGTGTGGGCGTCGCCCTTTCCGACTCATAGCCTCCTTTCCAGCCGTAGACGGCGTTGGACGAAAAGGGAGTGCCAGTGCCGCCGTGGGCGGAGGGCGGCCGGGCGTGCAGGGCCGGGAAGTGATGGGATGGAAAGGAGGGGTACCCCGGAGGGGAGTGTTGGGTAATCCCCAGGCTGCTTCCCGGGTCGTCGCTGATGTCATAAGGCTGAGTCGGACCGTCAGAGCGAACCATTGCGTGCAAGCGTCCTGGTGGATAGGATAACGAGGAGGGCTCCCACGCGGGCGCTGGCGTGCGGACGGAGACGTGAAGTTCCTTGTGCTGCGCTTGAAGGTAGTGATGGTGCTGAGGATAGAGCGGATGATGGTGCTGCGGCGTGTTTTCCTCTTGCTTAAGAGGTCGTAGATTATGCGCCGACCTTTGGTTTTTCGGTTGCGACGGCTGTGTTGGCGGGCGGCCGGATACATGGTCAGAATGCCTGGCATGAGGAGCAGCCGCTGTCGACGGATTTTCAGCTCGGGTGCGAGCCCTCTCCAAGGACACGCTCATGAAGGACGCTGCCAGGGACCCGTCTTCCCCCTCTTCTCGTTGCATCCTCTCTCTCGGACTCTCTCCCCCCGCGCGGACCCCCTCTGGCCCCAGAAAGTAGCTGTCTCCCTCCGCGCTCTTCAAGAAGTCTTCCAATGCCCCCTGCTCCAGACCGTCCAAATCCGCCCAGTCCTCCAAGCATGAGTGCTCGAAGGCCCCCCGGCTCCCACACCCCGACCCGGAGGCGTCTGTGGGTGTGGAGAGCGCGGGTTGCGATGCTGGGGGCAGAGAGAGAGGCAAAGGTGGTGGGCCAATGCTAGTACCGGCTGTCGTTGGCGCCATATTTCTCATCGCAGATTCCGCCCGTGCCACGCATCTAGTTGAGTCCTTGACTACACCGGATGCGTCCACCTCCTCTCTTCCTTTGGAGGACATGGCCCTGCCGCCGTTGTCGCCTTTGTAGGCGACATGACCGGCGCAAGGATTCAGACGCTTGGCTACCGCGTCTCCGCCATGCCCACGCCTCTCTTTCTCCGCTGGTGGATCCCTCGAGGACGGATACGAAGCCGCTGCTTTCCATGACTCCTGGTCCCCCAAATCCCGCTTCTTGGTCGCCGCCCGCCCCGTGGCTTTCTCCCGCCGTCGCGTCGAAGAGTTCCACCTGTGGGCCGGGGGGGGGGGGGTGGGACACGTTTGAAACTTTTTCCACGCGCTTTCTACACCCCAGCCACGCCCTCTCTCGTTTCGTGCCCACCTGTTTTTGACCGCATTCTCCGAGCGCCCCGGCAGGGAGCGAGCAATCTTGGTCCAGGCGTTCCCCCACTTCGCCTGCGCCTCCGCCAGGACTCGATCCTCTTCCTCCGTCCATTCCCCCTTCTTCAAGGCCGGGTCCAGGTTGTTGTACCACCGCTCCCGGCATTGCTTCCCCAGGCGGCCCGGGATTAAGTCTGCGATCGCCGCCCATTTCAAATTTCCTTCCTGAACACATCGCAGAATGATCTGGTCCTCCTCTGCCGTCCATGGCCCCTTGACCAGGCCTGGCTGTAGCACCTTCTGCCAGCGATGCAAGCACTGAACGTCCGAGCGTTTTCCCTCCAGAAACTCGTCGGAGATTTGCTTCCAACACTGTGGCCCTTTGCTCGCCACGGCCGCCCGAAGCATGGCGTCCTCCTCTTTGCTCCATCGCTTCCCGCCTCCGGGACCGGAAGATGGCTCTTTCAAGGGGCTTTCACGCCTTTCCTCCACGGCGATTATGCCTCTCTTCCCGCTCTTCTCTCCTGTGTCAGGCTCCGGAGTGAGCTTTGTTTCCTTGCCGTCGGGTCGTAAGGGACGCTGCGAGTTGACGTGGATCCCGACCTTCGACGACGAATGCTGGGGAGCCGACCGGGAGGCGGAAAGAGAATATGAGCCTTGTGATAAGCTCGACTTGCTGTGATGTTCTTCGCGGCGTGTGACGATGGGAGGATTCTTGGCGGAGCTCGCCGGCAGGAGGCCCAAGGTCCCCAAGGGCAACGTCGCCTCCCTCGTCTTCGAGCCTTCACACGACGCAGGATGCCCAGCTGCCACCGCATCGCTCTCTTTTTTCACTTGAATCTTAATGTCTATTGGCTGTTCGGGAGGTCCCAAAGCACTGCTTGCTTCTATATGGTCTGGTGCTGAAATGTCAAACGATGACATCTTGGCCGCCAGCTCCGCCTTGCTTTTTGAAACCGGCAGCCCATCTTCTGTATGGTGCCATACAGGTGATGGGCGGGAATCAAGCTGTCATTCAGGGAAAAAATGAGGTGATATGAGGACGGTTGGAGAACGATGAGAAATTTCGTATAGCGGAATTATTTGGGCCAGTTTTGGCACCCACAACAGGGCCGAATTTACCTTTTTCGCGTAGGGGGCGGTATTTACGACTAAATCGTGCATGTATAGATTATCTGCAGTCGAGACGATCAATGGCGGTCGCTTATTACTGGGAGCGTTTGGTGACAAATGCTCGTCTCGTTGGAATGCCGTTGATGGCAGACCCACTGATGAAGAGGAAGAATTGCAAGTACGGCCTCCGATCTGGGAGTGGCTTGCTTGGACATCAACTTCGTTCGATGACTCCATTCTCCAATACAATTTGGTCCGCTGATGTGGCCTTACAATTTCCCTCAATCGTGACTTGGTGCAGACAGCTTTGAGAGACCTCTTCGAATTTCACTGCAATGATGTTCGCGTCCTACGCGCATACGTCGAAAGTGTACATCCTTCCACCGATCCCCTGTTTGAGCAATTGCATGTCACTTTTATGATATGTGCATACTTACACCCACTTCACGTCGTATTCCCCCCTCAACATTCTTTCAGCCTGGGTAATTTTGCTGAGCCATGGGCCCTAGGGGAGGCTTGCTGGCCTCGCTCGGCGAAGGCTCAGCCCACTCAGCCCAGCTTGGCCCATATGCCCATATCCATCCCCGACGGAGAGGTTATCGGCCCGGGGTGGCCTCGCAAAGGTGCCCGGGCCACTTTTATCTGTCTGGGGCAGTCGTAGAGGTAGCTTGGAAAATTGTGCCGCCTCGGACCCTACCTACCAAGTGTTGCCCTTGGTGTTGTTCCGTTGTTATTCCTCTTTCCGAATATTAGACGAATCTGGTCCATTCTTTTTGGGAACATAGAAGATGAGGGTTTTTTGGTCTTTTAACAAGAGGGTTGAATGAATTAAAAAATGGCAATCACCATAACGGGAAGACACATATGCGCATTATCGCAGATGCGATGTCGACATTGCTTTTTTGTTTTCTCGACACAGTTGTTATTTGTTATTTGCTATTCCAAGAGAAATAGTGCCTCTATATTTTCTTTAACGTATTAAAGGCGTACACTCACCCACATCGCCACCATCATTCCCAATCTTATTTTTGTCGCTTCTTCGTTACTTCCTATCCACTTTCCTTTTCGCACATTCTCCTGCCTGCACTCTTAATCCCGCCAGGTCGCTCCTGTGTTCTTTGCGATGAAAGCCATCACATCGCTCTGCTCTTCAATCACTTTAGAAGTCGGCTTCCCCGCGCCATGGCCAGCTTTAGTATCGATTCTGATTATCAAAGGCCGGGTCTGAGCTGGATTATCCCCATGCGCGTGCTGAAGGGCTGCAATGTACTTGTAGCTGTGCAGAGGGACCACACGATCGTCATGATCTCCAGTAGTAATGAGGGTGGCCGGGTATGTCACACCTTCTTCTTTGTTCACATTGTGGATCGGAGAGTAGCCGAGCAAATTTTTGAAGTCCGCTTCGTCCTCGTCCGCGTTTCCGTAGTCGGAGCACCAGGCGTATCCAATCGTGAATTTGTGGAAGCGCAACATGTCCAAGACGCCGACTTGAGCGACCGCCGCGCCGAACAAATCCGGTCGTTGGTTGATGCAAGCAGCAACGAGCAACCCTCCGTTGGAACCTCCATTGATCGCAAGCTGGGCTGGTGTGGAGAGCCCTTCCTTGATCAGATACTCGGCCGCCGCCACAAAGTCGTCAAACACATTCTGCTTGCGCCCCTTGGTGCCCCCGGTGTGCCACTTTTCTCCATACTCCCCGCCCCCCCGGATGTTCGCGACTGCCACCAAACCACCATAGTGCTGGATGAAGAGTAAGCGGGACAGGCTGAAGGAGGGTCGAATGCTGATGTTGAACCCACCGTAGCCATACAAAAAGGTCGGCCGCGCGCGCTCTGGCCCGCCATTCATCTTAGACCCCTCCGCCCCACGCACCAAGAACATAGGCACCTTCGTTCCGTCCTTGCTCTGATAAAACACTTGGGTGGTCGAGAACTCCTCGGGATTCAAGCCCGGGATCACGGCACGGAACAGCACGGCCTTCGGGACCTCCACCAGAGCCAGCAAGTCTGACGCCTCGCTGTCCTTACCCTCCCTCTTGTCCGACTGCGTGCTCGCTTTCTCCTTCTTGCCCCCTTTCTTTTTCTTGCCCTTCGCCTTCGAAGGTTCCGGTGACCTGCTTCCGCCTGCTTTGGTGCCCTCCTGTCCTCTCGTGGCTTGTTGACCTTCCCCTCCACCACTTCCCTTCCCAGCCGCATCGGCGCTGGCTTCTGGAAATCGAATTTCGGCTCGGTAAACTGTTCCCGGGTCGCTGAAACTACTGAATTTGAAGAAAAACTCCGCCGTCTCCTTTCGGGCGCAGAGGCTATCCACCGTGCCTGTACCTGGCAAGGACACAGGTAAGCGGGCTGGCCGCCGAGAGATGGCGCCCGGCCCCTCTGCCTTCCCTTGTCCGCCCTTGGCTTCCACCACGGGTTCTCTGTCCAGAAAACAAAGCTCGAGCTCGTCGGTCACATTTCGCAGGTAGGAAAGCAGCAAGAAGCGGCCCGCCACGGGCTGGGCCCGGGTCAGGACCCCGCCCTTGCTATCCTCTGGCACCACGTCCACGAAAGTCACGGACTTGGCCAAGGCATCCTTGTCCTCCTCCAGGACGTCGCCCGGTGCGGGAAGCTCCGCCCGCACTATTTTGTAGTTTCCAGCCCCACCAGAGTTGGTCAAGAAATAAAATTTCCGGCCCTCGTTGGTGACGTAGTCGTACCTGTGCGCCAGGGTGTCCACCAAGCGCACGCAACGACCGATGCTTTTCATGTCCCTGCCGTCGAAGCCCCGGAGGTCAAAATAGTACAATCGATTGACAGGGTCGCAGCTGTCGTTGCTCGTTAGGAGCAGGGTCTCCCCGTCGTCCGCTATCTCCACGCCGTACATCCACTTCGGCTGCGATGGGTCGTGCCAGAACAGGACATCCTCCTTCTCATCCGTGCCCAGACGATGGTAGTAAACCATTTGACTGGCAGCGGCGTCGGTCTCTGTGCCGGCGCCATCCTCCTTCCCCTTGGAAGTAGGTGCCAAGTACTTGTTGTAAAAAAAGCCCTTTCCATCCCGGGTCCACGTCACACTCGAGTACTTGCACCAGTGGACCTCGTCCGGCAAGGCCTTACCTGTGTCCACGTCCATGGTGTAAATAGTCTGCCAGTCTGAGCCGCTTAAGGAGATCATGTAGGCCAGAGTGTTTCCATCCTCTGTGACGTGCACGGAGGATAAGGCGGCAGTCCCGTCCGCACGGAGAGTGTTTGGGTCAATAAGCATGCGAGGTGGCGAGCTTAAAGTGTCTTGGGTGTACAAGACGGCTTGGTTTTGTAAGCCGGTCTTCTTGTAAAAAAAATATCGGCTGCCCTTTTGCCAGACACAGCTAAATTTATCATAGTGAAATAACTCGCTCATCCGAGACTGAAATTTGAGCTTGTCCTCTTGCAAGCAGGCCTTGAAGTACGCGTCAGTAACTTTATTTTGCGCATTCACCCACTTCTGCACATCTTTGGCGTCAGGATCTTCTAGCCAGCGGTAGGGGTCAGGTACTGCCGTCCCATGCAAGGTATCAACGACTGGGACTCTGGCTGTAGAAGGATAACAAAGTCTCCCGGTGGCCTTATCGTAGTGGACCTCTGCTTTGTTGCTCAGCCCTAGCAAACGTAAAAATGCACACAAGGTGCTACTCTTCGATGCATTGACTCGCTTGCTTCGGCTCCGAAGAAAAAAATACACGTGCGAAGCTACGAACGCTGTTCCCACGACCCCGGTGGCAAGCAGCAAAGCGTCCTTCGACGTAGTCGTAGGCAACCCGTTCGGTCCGCGCTTTGCCAAAGGCAGCGACGGAAATGCGAAGGGCCCCATGTCGTAGTCCTAAAATCTGTGGTCTGATAGGAAAATAAGGTGTTCAAATTTCGCCTTCGCGTGTTCGGTGGCGTATGTGCTGTACACAGGATGCTTTAGGCTTCAGAAACGTCTCAGCGACGGACGGCGAGCTCCTGGCATTGGCGCATTTTTACAAGAGGATTAAAAGCTCATTTATACTCTTGTTTGTAAGAAATGTGTCTTTTCGATATGTGTGTGTGTGGTTCATTTTCTTCGTAAAGTCTATGTAAGAATGGATTGTCGAAAGAATGAATTTTGCTGTGATTTTTTAAGCATTTGCTCAGGCTGCCTCAGGTTATTCCTGAAGCCGGAGGT